AGGAGCTCAATCCCCTCAGGCTGCCCCTGGCTTGTCCCAAACTGGAGCCAGAATATAAGTCAGCTGCAGATCTAGTTAAAATGCAAATCCGACTCAGTAGTTGGTCTGGGGTGGGACCAGATTCTGCATTTCTAAGGAGCACCCGGTAATGTCGAAGCTGCAGGTGTGCAAGGCTCACTTTGGTGACCAGGTGCTAAAGATCAGTGACCACAGCTCCTGAGCACTGTTCCATCTGACTGCAAGTGAGAAAGAAAAAGAAGCAAGAGAAAGCTAGACAGGGCCCCCGCAACAAACTGCCAGGTTTCTTCTCTCTTTCTCTCCCTCCCCCCACAACTCCCTGCCAAAAACAGTCTTTTATTGAGGGTCTCCATGCTCTAGATTGCAAATTGCTTTAACCCTAAATTGCTTTAAGATGGATGCTGTTTTGTTGCTCATTGTAAAAGAGTGGCAACGATTCCAATGCCCCTCAGTGGGAAACTGCTGAAGTGGTATAAAATGCAACCTTGTGCGGCCTTTGGTGGGGAAAGATGGGCAGCCCTTCATTACTGTCCTGGAAAGAGCCCCAAAATAAGTTGTTAAAAAAACAGCAACAAGGTACAGAACAATGTGTATAGTTTGCTACCATTTGTATCTTTTAAAAGAGAGGAGAAAATTTAGGTTCACATATTGCTTATATAAGCAGTGACTAACCAGGAAAGATACCCAAGAGACTGGTAGCTTCTGAGGCAGAGCTAAGCAGCTGGAGAATCAGAAGGGAGTGAGCAGGATGACTTATTTTCAATTGTAGTCCCTTCTGAATTTTGTACCATTGGAATATATTTCCTGCTCAAAAAAAAAAAAAAACAAAAACAAAAATTGAAGGATAATCCCCTAGATCTTTCTATCCTTCCATATACCCAAAAATTGAATGAAATTGATTCACTCAACACTTTCAAGAACCCTCCTGGTGAGTCCTGGCAGGCAGAGTTGGTTCTTGGAACAGGGATGGGAGGGGCATTGCCTTGTGTTACCAACATGTCAATGCTCCACCCACATGGAAACTCCAGAAGGTAGGTGTTCAGTCTAGAGGCTCTGGGGGTCCCGATCTCCCTGGTGGGATTCCAGGGACCCGCCACTGAGGGAAAGAACCGCAGGCCTCAGGGCTCTGCAGAAGGAAGACATTCTGCACACCTGGGTCACCTTTCCACCATCAGGTGGCTGAATTAGAATCTGTGGCCGAGAACTTAACAATGACTTCACCTGGAAAGCCTTCCTGTGAGGACCCCGTGCTGCACTTAGAATGTGTTCTGTTCTCCTGAGGTTTTTTTTTTAGTTTAAATATCTGACTTTGGCTGGACGAATTACTGGATTTTTACCTTTCCACTTGATACCCTATCTTTTTTTTTAAGACTTTATTTATTTATTCACGAGAGACCCAGAGAGAGAGACAGAGACACAGGCAGAGGGAGAAGCCGACTCCATGCAAGGAGCTTGATGTGGGACTTGATCCCGAGTCTCCAGGATCATGCCCTGAGCCAAAGGCAGACGCTCAACCACTGAGCCACCCGGGTGCCCCTGTCACCCTACTTTTTTATCTCTTGATTCTCATTAAGTAATTTCTCCAGCTTGTGTTATTTATTCTCTTTCTCCCCAGCTATGATCCCTCCCCAATGAATGGACAATTCTCCCAACCACTGTCCATATAGTCATTTCAAGTTCAAATATCAGTTCATCCTTTCTGTGACCTCAAGCAGGTTACTCAGTTCTCAAAGGAGGTCGAGGTGAGGGGCGAGCCTGACCCAGTGAAGAGCACAGAGCAGAGGTTCAATAAATCTGTTCTCTCCATCATCGCAGATCTTCCTCACTCCGAAACCCCTTGGGATTATTATAAGCTCCTCATTCTCTCCAAAGCATGTCCGTTTTGGCCATCTCAGTCCTCCCTGGAATCCCAAAAGCCCAAACAAGAGTTGTTCTCAGCACCAAGCAGATCAGTGCGTAGGACTCAGCTTTCTCCAATGCTTGCCCAGGGTCATAGCACTAAGTGTAGAATAACTGGAAACACCAAGCAGATCTAGTGGCTCCTGGAAGAGTTCCTGGAACCACATTGTCCTCCCAGCCCGACTCCTCAGAGACTAAAGGTGCCCAGTCCTATGTTCCTTCGAGATTCTTCCCTCAATATATTCAAATCTACCAGTGAATGAGCTCCCACAACCTGTCGAGTTACAGGTGACTTTTTTTGATGTCCAGATCTTTGGTGCATGGAAAGGATTATGTAAAGCCATTTGATTATAGTATTTCAAGTTGTAAATTTAGAACTTAGTTTTCCTTGGGCCATTAAATGCAACTTTCAAATATAATCCATTGAATTGTATATCCAGTAATGTTTGTTAGGATTTAAAACAATCGCACTTCATCTTTGGTTAATGTTCTCTTAGTTTCAAAGTCTAACTGATTAAATTCCCCCAAATAATTTAAGCACTGTTTACAGTCAAATTCTCTTAAACTATTCAAAGTCACACACCCAGAAAATCTACAGGAGCAAATTCTCCTAAATATTTAAATACTATTTATACACATGATTAATTAAATGCTCTTTGGGCAGGGGGATGGGGTGATTGGGTGATGGGCACTGAGGGGGGCACTTGACGGGATGAGCACTGGGTGTTATACTATATGTTGGCAAATCGAACGGCAATTTAAAAAAAAATGTTTTTAGGGGATCCCTGGGTGGCGCAGCGGTTTAGCGCCTGCCTTTGCCCCAGGGCGTGATCCTGGAGACCCGGGATCCAGTCCCACGTCGGGCTCCCGGTGCATGGAGCCTGCTTCTCCCTCTGCCTATGTCTCTGCCTCTCTCTCTCTGTGTGTGACTATCATAAATTTTTAAAAAAATGTTTTTAATTAAATGCTTCAACCTTGCAAACTACAATCACAAATTTAATGTACCTGATTTCCCAAGCCCTTCAAATGCCTTCATGAGCATTTAAACAACTCTGGAAAATTACTAAATCAAAACCTATATATTTAAAAAATCAGATGTTCTTACGCATTTAAACAGAGTCAAATCAAACATAAATTCAGCTAATTTGATTTAGCTAATCATCCTCCTTATTTTAGGTCTAATTAAACAGATACTCTTAACTGTTTCAATCCCTCAAATGGTATATTCAATATGTATACATTCAAATATGTATTTAAGTTCATGCTAAATGCTATAATTATTACAAAAACTCATCATCTTACAAAGAAACCTTACCAAAATTATCAATATAGGATGCAAAGCATACACCCTTCTGAAAAGAATCACCCTAAAGCCTCCACAGCAACTTGAGTTAAAAATGTATGGTTGTCAGAGATTCAAGATGAGGGGTGTGAATTCAGGGATTTGGGCCAGAACTCTGGGGCTGAAAGAGGGATGCATGGGTGTAACTGGACAACTAGACGCCACAGGCCCCAGCTTTCAGAGGTAAAGTTTCATCGGCATCATCCTCCAATTTTGCTCTTACCCACTTCTTATCATGGTCATTCTCCAATTTTTACCACTTGGTCTGGGCAAAGGGAATTCTGAACACACCCATCTGGGTAGTAACTGTCTTTCTTGCAGCCTGAAATGCCTCGAAGAGACTATCTATCTATCCCGCAGATGTTTGCTGACCGCCTACTATGTGCTGGTCGCTGGAGACACAGCAATGAGTGAAATTGGCAAAAATGCCCGGCTCCACGGTTCTAGCATCCTAATACCAAGACAGAGATCATAGGCAGGAGTGATAAGTCATGTGTGTGTCACATATTGGAAGGGGAAGAAGTCCTATGAGGACAAAAAAGAAGCAGAGAAGAGGGATAGTGAGTGCTGGAGTAGGACAGGGTTTCGTTGTACATAAGATGCTTAGGGAGGGCTTCACTCGCAGGTGACATTGGAGTCTGACCTGAAAAAAAATGAGGAAAGAAGCCCTGTGGCTCCTGGAGCAAGAGTGCTATGAGGCACAGGGACAGGTACTGCAGAGGTTCTGAATCACTTCTTCATATCCTAAGAGGAGCAAAGGTGCACGAGGAGCTGGAGCAGGACAAGTGAGAAGGAAAAGAACAGACAAGAGGACAGAGAGGTGAAAGGAAATGACGTAGCAGTGGCCAACCTCGTAGAGCCATTGTGAGCATCCTGCCTTTTCTTGTGGGATGACAGCCTCTCCCTGGCTGCTCCTCCTAGGAGGCAAGCAGGACACCAGCTAAGAGCAATTGAAATAAATCAAGTGAGACATGAGGGTGTCTTGCAAAGAAGGAGGGGGAAGTTGGGACACATTTTGAAGGTAGAGCCAATAGGATTTGCTGAGGGGTTCGAAGGCTAGAAGGTTCGGGCCAAAACAACTTAAAGGATCCCATTGCCATTACCAAAATGAAGATTTTCTTATCTAATTGATAATTAATTTATATTATTCATTGACACCAGCACTGTGATAGATACCAGAGCACCAATTACCAAGCTATGAAGTCACTCTCCTCCTACCAAGAGTAAGAAAATCCTACAGGAAATCTGGATGGGCACTTTTTTTTTTAATGTTAAAATATAATGCCGTGAATTCAACTGAAGGAGGCTCTGTGAGACTCAGGGAAGAGAGGGAGGGGACGGATCTCTAAGCTGGGTTTGGAGAGATTGAAGGACATTCCAACAAGATAATATAGAATTTGAAAAGACACAGACATTGCAGTAATGTAGTGTGTTTATAGAAGTAAACCGTTCAGAATTGCAAGCTGAGAGCAGGACAGCACGGAGGTGGCACGGAACACATGTGATGGGGGCAAACTGAGGGGTGCAGACGTCATGCTAAGGGAGACCGAGAACCCTCAGAGCTTCAGCATGAGTGTGACACGATGGGATCGATGTGGGGTTTGGGGACCAGTCTGCCACTAGGAGATACACATGGGCTCCTCGGTGTAGAAGATGTTGAAGACCACCTCTTTGATAACAATGTTAACATTCTTGTATCTCCTCCCCTTGATCATTGTCCTGCGTGTAACACACCAGTGGAATGACGCTGGGGCAGAACCACACCACAGTGACAAGATTCATCCTGCTGGGCCTCACAGACCAGGCCGCCGGAAGACATCTCCTCTTCGGCATCTTCCTGCTGATCTATGCTGTGACCCTGGTGGGCAACCTGGGCATGATGGACCTGATCCGTACCAGCTCCACCCTCCACACCCCCATGTACTTCCTCCTGAGCGTGCTCTCCTTCCTGGACATATGCAATTCCTCTGTGTTCACCCCCAGGCTTCTGATCAGCTTCCTCACCACGGATCAGTCCATCTCGTTTGCGGGCTGTGTGGTCCAGATGGCCTTCATGATCCTCCATGGCACAGGGGAGTGCCTGCTCTTGGCCTTCATGGCCTATGACCGATTTGTGGCCATCTGCCACCCTCTCCTCTACCATACGATCATGTCCAAGCGCTTGTGCATCCAGCTGGCGGTGGTCACCTATGCGGCAGGGGTGTTCGTTTCAGCTCTACAGACGGGGAATGCCTTCATCTTGCCCTACTGTGGTCCCAACATCATTGATCACTTCTTCTGTGACATCCCCCCCGTGCTCCAACTGGCCTGCTCAGACACCACCGTAGCCAATATCATCCTGCTCTTCCTTTCTGCCTTGGTTACTGTCCCCACGGTGTCAGCCATCTTAGTCTCTTATACCTACATCCTGGTCACAATCTGTAGGATGAAGTCCCTGGAGGCCCAGCGCAAAGCTTTCTCCACTTGTGCCTCCCACCTCATTGCCCTCTCCCTCTTCTATGGGTCTGTGTTCTTTGTCTATGTCCAACCCAACCCAGAAAGTGCCTCAGCCTATAATAAGACCCTGTCTGTGTTCTACACCATTGTGATCCCCATGCTGAACCCCCTGGTCTACAGCCTAAGGAATAAAGATGTCAAGGCTGCTGTACAAATTAGGGTTCTTAACTTAAGCAGAAAATGGATTTATTAGAAAGGTATCTGGGGGCAGCCCTGGTGGCCCAGCGGTCTGGTGCTGCCTTCGGCCCGGGGCATGATCCTGGAGACCCGGGATCGAGTCCTGTGTCAGGCTCCCTGCATGGAGTCTGCTTCTCCCTCTGCCTGTGTCTCTGCCTCTCTCCGTTTCTCTCTCTCTCTCTCTCTCTCTCTCTCTCTCTCTCTCTCTCTCTCTCCCATGAATAAATAAATAAATATCTGAAAGAAAGAAAGAAAGAAAAGCATCTGTAGCTCATTAAATAGAAGAGAAGCCTAGAGATCTCAGTGGGACAGGAATCCACAGTGGCCAAACACAGCTGAATACCTGCCGCAAGAATGGTCTATGCAGACTGCCTCCACGGGGGACATCACCTCTGAGCATTCCCCATTGCTGTGGCTAACACTGCTGCCCCTGAGCACATAGCACTACTTAGCTGCAGAAAAAAGGCACCTACACTAGCCTCTGTACGACCCTCTGTAGCATCCAACCACATATCATCTCTAACTGTTCCTACACCTTCCCATCATTCCCTGAAGTTCAAGCCTTAGGCAGGAACATCCAATATATTTGGCATATATCCCTCCTGGACATCTATCAATACACCACTTTTAGCACGGATATATTACATGCCCTGATATGCTATGCCCACACTTCTATCTTGCAGAGCCGTAGACCTCCTTTTAATGATTCCAGAAGTGGGAGTCAGATTGTCTTCCTCCTATCTTTAAGAGTTCTCAAATGTAGAAAAGAGCATTGAATGACACAGCAACCATCCCTAAAAGGTTATATAGGAAAAAAAAAAAGGTTATATAGGGGATATTGCCCTTCCGTGTGATATTGGAGAAATGGTCCATGTGATGTTTGCATATGAAGAAGATGGTGATCTTTTGACTTTGTGGGACAGAATGGAGCCCCAGCTTCGGAAATCTCCACTGTAACTAGCCAGGGACCAGAAAGTACTCTATAGTAATAATGAGCTATTATTTCTCTATAAATCACCAATTGAAACAAAATAAAAAGCTGAAAGGCCATAGAGCTTTTTTCAATTGAGATCAAATTACCTTTATGTCTTTAAGAAAAAATTACTTCTATGTCTTTGGACGAAACCCTTCTTTATTATAACAGAAATCAATCTTACTAATTTAAGATGGTAAGAAAGAGGTGGAATTTATTATGAAACCCACATGTCAACTGAGGAATACTATCTTTCTGAGAATCAAATAAAATTGGCTTGAACTCCGTTGCATGTGTGGTGAAATCCCTGTATTTCTGCTTGTCCAGAAAACCTGAGGTAGCAGGGGATGGGGTATAACTGGTTCGTGTTTTTCCTGGTTACCAGGTTTTACCTGGTTTCCTGATTTCTCCAAATTCTGAAATCCACTGATTTACTTCGGCTTATGAGTCATCCAGGGAGAGAGAAAAGCATGGGGCCAAAAATGTGGATGGTATAAATGGGAAAGAGAAAGAAACAAAACCCAACTGTCATAGATGCTGGGAGGAAGGGGGAAAGGGAGTTTTGAGCAGACTGGGCTGAGCCAACACAGCCAGGCTTGCTTCTTACAGGAAACCAAGAAACAACGCATCTCTTCCAGAAGAAACCTCCATGTTCACCTGCAACTTCATAAATATCAAACTGAAACAACATGTTCTTAGAAAATTGAATAATGCATGAGTGAACCTGTTGATCAATGCTGTGATGGTACTGAAATCATCTCCTGGTTTAATTTACAGGTTTTATGAAACCAATAGGACATGATAGATTAGATGATTGATGATAGATAGATAGATGATGATGATAGATAGATAGATAGATAGATAGATAGATAGATAGATAGATGATAGATAATAGAAGAGGATAGAAGAGGAGATTTATTATAGGAATTGGCTCATGCAATTATGGAGGCTGAGAAGTTCCACCATCTGCCATCTGCAAGCAGAGAACCAGGAAAGCTGGTGGTATAATTTGGTCTAAATCAAAAGGTCTGAAAACTGGGGGCTGATGATGGTGCCGTTCCTGGTGGGAGTCCAAAAGCCCAAGAACCAAGTTCACTGATGTCTGAGGACAGGAGAAGATGGATGTCACAACTCAAGCAAAAAGAGCAAATTTGCCCTTCTTCTCCTTTTTTGTTGTCAAAGCCCTCAATGGATTGGATGAAACTCACCCCACATTTGTGAGGGTGAGCTTTACTCAGTCTACCAATTCAAATGCTAATCTTATCTGAAACCCCACCCAGACAGAGCCAGAAGTCATATTTCACCAGCTTTCTGGGCATCCCTGAGCCCAGTCAAGGTGACACATAAATTAACAATCCCATGTACTAAGAATATAGTAGGCCCCAGCCGGTCCCCACCACCACCACCACCCAACACTCCATCCCCAACTCAGGAGTTTAGGGACTGCAATCTTTTCATGAAAAGAAGCCATTTGCTTAACTTTTTTTCAAATAATAATTTCCCTTGGGGCCAAGGAGACACAGAGCACCCAGGAACAGAGACGCTGGGGTGTCAGCCCCTCCTTCGCTGCCCTGGTAAACTCACAATCTGCTCCTAATTTCATCAGTTCCTAAACACCCTCACCTCACGGTCCTGGGCAACCCAGTCACAGACAACAAAGTCAACAGCTTCCCAGAAATGGATTATGGAGTAGCCTATGAGGAACAGAGGAAAGACAGGACAGAGTGTAGAGAGCAGGAGCAGCTGAGGCCATGGCAAAGTTTGCTCAGAGACAAGGCACCCAACCCCTTGGGTCCCACACACACCACCCTGTGTAAATGTCTCCTCCCCTCTTCCTTCACCTAAAACCATCTGGCACAGAATCCAAAGGAGGCATTGGGATGTTAGTTGGAAATAAAGTCAAAGTGTTACCTCTCTCAAGAGCATTTGAATTACATTTTTTTGTTTACACTAGGTCTTTACAGAGCCCACTCAGTACCCGAAGCTGTGGAACTTTTGACTGTTGGGAATGAAGCCAAAGGTAAGGTGGAGGGGCAGATACAGCCACATGTGCTGGAAGGAAGACCAGTTTGCGGTCCAGACTAGGCAGCCAAGGCACTAGGCCACCGTAGATCATTGCCAGCAAGTACTGGATGTTGAGCGAACACTTACTGTTAGCAGGGACTGGCCCCATCACCTGACGGAAGTTAGTTAGCTTTGCTGGGCTTCCACCCATCCCACGTGGACTAGACATGTGATAGCCAAGGCCAAAGCCTGTGTGTTTACAAATGGAAAGGGGGTTACGTTACTTCGAATCTCTTCAATGTTCATCTTGTTCCCAAGGCTCTCAAACTCATTTAAACTAACCTCAGAGGCTCTTGGGGGAGGAACACTAATCACACGAAGAGGCAGCCTTGGCATTGGGATGGCTAGTGGAACACTCAAGCTCTCCAGCGCTAAGTGCTGTCACTCACCAGGTGGGACATCTCTCCAGGCATTACTTCCAGGGCCAGCTTGGTGCAGAAAGGAAGAAACCAGATGCAAGCGAGCGAGGGATCTTCCCTAGAGGAAAGAATCCAAGTCCAAGACACTGCCAGCTGGGGCTAGTCAAAGGTAACTAGTATCAAAGAAGGGGCAAATGGGTGGACACCCTCTAGAAGATTCATGGATCCTTGCCCTGCCTTCTCCATAGGTCATGATACTGAACACTGTCCCCACCCCGACTCCAGAATGTCATACACCCAGTTTCATCCCTACCCTCTCCAGGACCTCATGGAAACTGGCCGCCAGCCCCAAGAAGCTGAGCTAGATGGGAAGCAAGCCTGGCTCAGGACAGTGTGCAGATAAGCTCTCTAAAGATAGATTTGCTCAATGGAAGGGCACCAGGCAATCCCAGAATCCCATTCTTCTCTAAATGCTTATAAGACATGATGTTTGGTGTAATTTGAGAGACTGAAGTGCCAAGGCCAGTCCTCCAGAGTAGTTACCAGCCAGAAAATTCTATTCCCACAACTGCTGCCCAGTGAACAACACGTCTAAAGCCTGACTACAGGGTCTGAACAGTGTGGCTTCCCATAGCTATTATTACTGTACCCAACAACGCACTTCACTGTTATACTCATTTGTGCTTTGAAGTTCAAAATTGCAATTCTAAGTGTTGTTGTTTTTTTAAGATTTATATATATATTTATTTATTTATTTGAGAAAGAGTGCACACTCACACAGGTGAGTGGGGAGGGTCGGGGGAGGGGAATGAGCAGAGGAAGAGGGAAAGAATCTCAAGCAGACTCCACACTGAGCAAGGAGCCTGATGGGGGGCTCCATCCCAGGCCCCTGAGATTGTGACCTGAGCTGAAATCAAGAGTCAGATGCTCAACTGACTAAGCCACCCAGGCGGCCCTCAAAACTGCAATTCTTTAAAAAAGTAACCCAATCACTCAATTTACAATGTGTTCACCTCGCTTATCTACTTACTTACTGTAGATAAGCGAGGTGAGCAAGGCTGGCAGGCATCCAACAACAAATTGTGCCTTAGCAGGAAGGAGGCCCAGAGAAAGGATCTCTGGGCAGGATGAGATCCTTCCAATCTTCTTAGGGTTCCCATCCGATGTTGTGCTCAGACATCGTGCCCAAACATGGGTGGCTTCCCTGGCCGCCCTGGCACCTAGCACATCTTTCCGTCAAGGAGGCTTGTCACTTGGTGTGGCATGGCAATTACAACTCATGGTTAAATCCAGTTCTCATATGAGCTAAATGCTCTCAATCTACTTGTGGTCAGAGGTCCTAGCTCATGATCACCCATCAGCCAGGGGGCTGACAGTGGCTCACAAACATGGAAAAGGCAAAATAACCCATTTCAGGGATGAGTCGAGCTACTTTCCCCTTCTTCCTCACTGCTCCAGTTGTTTTCACATGTCAAGGAGCCTGAAGATACCTTCATTTTACAGGCATCAAGGGTTGGAAGGATCTTGCCAGCATCTTTCCTGAAAGCCCAAATTTCTCAGCCTTAACCTCTTCAACCCGATGTTTGCTTCATGGGAAACTCTGCAGCTTGTCCTTTATGTGTCTTCCTGGGGACCCATCTTCTGGCTCTGTGTGTATCAGCTCACAGGGTCCCAGTGTGACTAAAATCTTGGGAGAGTAATAAAGCTGTGCTGATGGGCTCAGGGGCTCAGAGGTGCATGTCACATGTGTGTGCGTTGGCTTGTTTCCAGGGCGAGCCCAAGGAAAGTGCAACCGAACATTCTGTCAATATAAAGACAGTGTCAGAAATGGTGCTCATGTCAGGTGTGACCCTCCAGGGATCACTCTTTGCCCTTTGCTCCCCTACAAGGTAGATCCTGTCTTGAAATCCTACTTGAATGACAGCTAACATGTATCAAATACCTGTGGTGTGTCAAGAATTTTATTTTCATCTCATCAAATTGTCCCGTCTACCCCCATGAAGGCACAGAGTACTGTAGCCTCATTTTTAAGATAAAGAAACTGAGTCACAGAAGGAGTGAAGTCACCTGTCTCAGATGACATAAATCACAAGTGGCAGAACGGGGACTGAAACTCAGACCCTGGAGTGCCAGGCTCAACCACTCTGCTACATCGTCTCCGCCTTTTGGGAAGTATTCCATGGACTTCAACTATACTGGATTTCTAAGGATGGCAACCATTAACTCCTCACTTCTCTATATGACATACCACCCCTCCCATCGAGGTTGGGATAAAAATACAGATGCCAGGGGTGCCTGAGTGGCTCAGTCAATTAAGCATCTGCCTTCAGCTGGGGTCATGATCTCGGGGTCCTGGGATCGAGCCCTAAGAGGGCTCCCTGCTCAGCAGAGGAGTCTGCTTCTCCCTCTGCCCCTCCCCCTGTTCATGCTGGCTCTCTCTCTCTCTCTCTCAAATAAATGAATAATTTTTTTAAGTTTTCAAATAAATAAATAAAAATATGGATGCCCAGTGAAAATCAAATTTCAGGCAATGAATAATTTTTAGCATAAGTATGTCCCAATATTGCATAAGACACATTTATACTAAAAAATATTTTATTTTGTGTATCTGAAATTCAGACTTAAATGGGAAATGGCACCATGTATTTCATCTGGCAACCCCACTTGTGACTTGCTCTGACCAATAACACACAGAAGTGACAATGTGCTGATTTCAGGCTCAGCCTTAAAGAGGACTGTTGGTGTCCGCTTCTTCCATCTTGGAAGCTCATCACCCTAAGACCACCAGACTGCAGGGAAGCCCCGCTAGTTATGCAGAAAGCTCACATGGAAGAGCACTAAGCACCAGATGTTGAGAGAGGCCTTGGCCTTCCATGACCACCCAGCTGCCAGGTGCATACAGCTCTGTGAGCCATCTCGGGCCACTCCACATAGAGGAGAACAATTTGCCCCAAGCCCTACCCAAACTCCTAACCCACAGTATCATGAAAAATAACAAAGGGCTGTAGTTTTAAAATACTCCATTTTGAGGGGCGCCTAGTTGGCTCGGTCAGTTAAACACCTGCCTTCTGCTCAGGTCATGATCTCAGGGTCCTGAGATCGAATTCCTCATTGGGCTCCCTGCTCAGTGGGGAGTCTGCTTCTCCCTCTCCCTCTGCCCCTTCCCCCGCTCATGCCTGTCTCTCTCTTCCTCACTTTCTCTCTCAAATAAATAAATAAAATCCTTTTTAAAAAGATATATTTTTAAAGAGTTTTCTTATATAGTTTAAAAAAAAAACTGAAATAAGCCCTAATGACTGGCCCTTGAATTATTTTGAATTTAGTCCCCAAACCCTGTGGGACTCTCCATGGGGCTCCATCAGGCTTGCCCTCCAGGCCTGCTCAGTCTTGCCCAGGCTCACTACTATTTTCCTGAGGGAGGCTACGCATCCTGGAGGTCCAGAGCATGGCATTCGGGGACAGCTAGACCTGGTACTGGATTCCTGCTCCGGCTCACAAAGCTACATGCCTTAGTCTGAAAAATGAGGATGTCAATATTAATTACTTCATAAAGTAGTTCATTAGGATTAAAGGAGATTTACTGTCTATAAAGCGCTTAGAACAATGTTGGGTCCTTAATTAGTGTTCAGCACGTCTTAGCTGTTGTAAGTAGTTGTCCTTCCACTGAATAATTTCTCCAACCTGTGTTATCTTATTATTTTATTTCCCTTATTATTTCTATGCAGGGGAGAAAGTTGAGTGAAACCAGAAATCCCAAGACAACGAGGCTGGTGGCCTCCACCAGTGAGGAACCACAGATCTCCAGGAGGACAGAATCACTGCGAGGGGTCAGGCCCACCCCATCCCTTCTTCTATCACACCATGGCCTCATTCCCCTTTCCTCAGGCCCAGCAATTGCTGAGAAATCACAAGGCCCCAAATTCGGCTCAGACCTACTAGGTAATAAAGCTACTCCCAGGCCACCCAGTCACACTCCCCAATTTCCTTCTCTTTTCCAGGGAACTAGAAATGGTAGGCCAGAAAAATGGAGATTCCTGAGAACATAAGATGAAACAGAAGTTAATGGGTTATAGAATCACACAGGACTGATGTCTAAATCTGGTTTTACAACAGACAATCTGGCATAATTTGTAAACAAGAAAGTTGTGTGAAGATTAAATACTCAAATGATAAAAAAAAAAAACCTAGCATGAAGTGTGCTGTTGAATATATGCTCACTTGAAACGGTTCCCCTACTTCCCCAGGCATTATCCATTCTGGGCATTAAATGGGCAATGGCTGTGACTGTGATGCAGTCATGCAAAATTACAGCTTCTTCTCACTTTCCTGTGGCCCCAGCATCATCAATCACTACCTCTGTGACCTCTATCCCTCTGCGCAACCACCAACTTACCTATGCTAAGGACCAGGGCCATTCTCTTCCTTCTTTCTGCTCACCCTCCTCCCCATCATGCGCATCCTGGTCACCTTCTGAAGGAGGCATTCCCTGAAGCCCAAAGCAAAGATCTTCCATTTTTGCCTTTCATCTTTTTCTCTTCCTTTTCAGTGGCACTACAGTATTCTCATATGCTCAGCCATGCTCTCGCGACAGTCTTACCCCTGCAGTCCTGTGGCAGGTCAGAACCAGGCCAAGTTATTGGATCGTGGTGAACAGAGTGGTGACTCCAAACCAAAGATGAGCCAAGGGTCAAACACCAGGAAAGGAGGATAAGATTTCAAAACATGAATCAATGGAATACTACTCACCCATCAAAAAAGTGAAATCTTGCCATCTGCAATGACATGGATGGAACTAGAGGGTATTATGCTGAGTGAAATAAGTCAGTCAGAGAAAAACAATTATCCTATGATCTCATTCACATGTGGAATTTAAGAAACAAAACAGAGGATCATAGAGGAAGAGAGGAAAAAATAAAACAAGATGAAATCAGAGAAGAAGACAAACCATAAGAGACTCTTAATCATAGGAAACAAACTGAGAGTTGCTGGAGGGAAGGGGGGTAAGGGATGGGGTAACTGGGTGATGGGCATTAAGGAGGGCATGTGATGTAATGAGCACTGGTGTTATGTGCAACTGATGAATTATTGAACTCTACATCTGAAACAAATGACACATTATATCTTAATTCATTGAATTTAAATTTAAAAAATTTTAAACATGGGGGGCACCTCTATCGGTGACTCAGTTAATCATCTGCCTTTGGCTCAGGTCATGATCCCAAGGTCCTGGGATCAAGCCCCACACTGGGCTCCTTGTTCAGCAGGGAGCCTGCTTCTCCCTCTCCCTGTGCCTACCCGCACCAGGCTCTCTCTCTATCTGTCAAAATAAGTAAATAAAATCTTAAAACACACACACACACGGGTCAAAATAAGTAAAGCAGCATCATGAGTGAAAGCAGGGTCAGGCATGAAGTTAGGCCAACAGGTGGTACACAAAGGGCAAGACAAATATTGGATTCCTTGTCCTTAAGACCATTGGGAAGTCATACATAGCTTGTGAGGAGCCAAACTCAGAGTAAAGAGCTGTTTCCAGATCCCTCCAGACTTCTGCTTATGCACAAAATGTGTTTGTGTGTGAAGACCTCTCCTCTAGTATCCTGGTACCTGACATTGACCTCTCTACCACATCTCTATTCCCAGATAAGAGACAATGACCAAAGACAACACTTCAGAGGCTGCAGTGAAGTGAACTCTTTCCAGCGCCTGTTCCCTCACCAGTCCCAACACAAGGACACTTGTCACTGGGACTCTGCAGAATTATTTCCATATAGTTTCATTCCCACTGACTCTGCTCACCACCGTTACCTCACCTCCCCAAGTGAACCGTAGGCTTTCCAAAGCAGGAGCTCAGCTCATACTTCATTTCATCCCCCACAGAGCCTGGCACAATGCTGGGTACTTAATCAGGGCATAGGAATTAAGGCATATTTGTTCATATATATTTCACCTCTTCCTCTTTGGATTTTAGGCTTTGGGGCAGTGGAAGATTAAAAAAAAATGCCAGTTGTCATTACACTATAAGACCCAGGCCTAACAAAAACTACTACTACCCGAAGAAGGCATTTTCCCAATAATTATAATTAATAGTTAACTTTTATTGAACATATATTATGTCCCAGGCATTCTGGGAGGCACATCATACACACTAATTTATTTAATCCTCATAACAATTCTGTGAGTAGATTATGCCTATTTCACAGATGAGGAAACCCAGAGTCCAAGAACTCTAAGGTCAAATACAGTTCACAACTGGTAGACCCAAGTTCAGCTGATTCCAAAGCCTAGGCTCTGCTCTAGTGCCTAAAATCCCTTTGCATTTTTGCAGGAAATTATGCAACAAGTTTACATTTCTACTGTTTCCAAAAATTCCAAGGAGCTGCTCCTATGTTTCCCACCAGGGCCTGGCTTTCTTCTAATTCCATAGAGTCTTGACTCCTACCAGGAGTTTCCAGTTCCTACCTAATACTTGAAAAGCAATTCGGAACAGGAAAAAAAGAAATGGGCTAGAAAAGGCAGAAAGAGTTAGGACCTCAAAGCACCCTTGGTGCCCCTGACTTGGCCCCAACCCTCTTGCCACCAAAGAAAGCCCAAGTCTCTAAGCCAGTTACCTCTCCCTCCAACCCTTCCTGCATTCCATATTAATGCTGGCATAGAGTTTCTTTGTGAGTCACAACAAAGAATGAAGGCACTTTTCCTGCCTTGGCCAGGCCAGGCTGGTTTCAAGAGTAGACAAGCAGTGATTCAATGATTCATCAAAAATCAGGGGCTTGGAAAAGCAATGATGTTGCTTAAAGTAGCTAACTTTAGCATCTCTCCCCCAAATCAGAGAAGGGTCTCTTGTCCTAGAACTCCAATTTTTCCTTGTGCCAAAGGAGGTATTTAGAAAATATGATCTTTGTAAGGTGTCCTGACTTTCACATGAAATCTGAACCCTCTTGGCAGTACCAGTGAACCTGTATAGTCATGAAAGATACACTGATGAGGTAACCTCCACAAGGTGACGTAACTCTACTTTTCTTCCCAGTTATCAAGAAGCCAAAACAGGAAGCAAAAGGGCCTTGGGGAAAAAAAAGAAGAGGAGAAGGGAAGGGAAGAAAGAAGAGAAGAGGAGAGAAGGAAGAGAAGAGAAGAGAAAGAAGAGAAGAAGAGAAGAGAAGAGAAAGAAGAGAAGAGAAAGAGGGAAAAGAAGAGAAAATTATCAAAATTTAAATTTTGATAATTTAAATTTTTATTTAAAAATAAATCTTCAAAAGATCACCAGAACACCTGTTGCTCAAACAAAGCTAAGTTCATGAGACCTATTTGTAGAAAGAGAATACACAGAATCCTAGTGTCTCAAAAGAACATTAGTGGAAGATATTTACAGAGTTGGGGGGCCCAGACCCAAGTGGTTTAAGGTGGATCTTTTTTTTAAGTTTGTTTGTTTAAGCAGGCTCCACACCCAAATGGAGCCCAAAGAAAAGCTTGAACTCACGATCCTGAGGTCAAGAGTTGCATGTTCTTCTGACTGAGCTGGTCCGGTGCCCCCAATGTGGATCTTTCAAATCAGGGAGCACATCAGAACTGGGCCAAGTCTGTGACATTATCCTTTAGGATGGGCAGGTAACAGGGAAGGCAGAGCCTGAAAGCAAATCTCAAGAAGTAAACTACTGTTTGTTGAAGAGATTGTTTTCCCTGGGTGGGAAATCTACTGTCCTAATAGGAGAGCTGTTTGCCCAGAGGAGCAAACTATTTTTTTAGATAAATTGGTTTGCAGGAATTTCATGAGGCAAACAGTGAGGTTATTTCTTGGCTTATGGCCATATCTTCCTCAGCTGAATTTCCTGAACAATGAGTAAGGTCATGTTGCCATCGGAAGTCACTACTCTCAGTCCCAATAGTTAAACCCTGTAGGTATAGATGATTTCCATCCTTAACTTCAACTTATTATTTTAAAACACCACTATGGGATGCTATTCTATTCCCTTAGAGACAGAGCTTCACCTCGCTTCCTCCATCAGTGACATTATGACAGGGCTATCATTGACTATTTCTCCCACTGACCACGCCAAGTGAGCAGGGACAGTCAATAGGGAAATCATTTCAGCTGAAAAAAGAACTCATTGCCATGTGTACATAGTCTGTCTGTGTCCTTGACAGTTAATGAATAATCAGCATTCATCTGAAAGGATCCGGGTCATCCAGTGGGTCTGGGAACAGCAGTTCATTACCATGGCATTGTTGAGTAATTTCAGGAAATATTTTTTATTCAGAAAGACCAGGTCTTCAACCCCAGAGTTCACTGGCTTGTGTACAACTTTTAGCCAGCACCTTCCCCCTCTGAGCCTTTTCCCAAATACGTTGACCCCAACATTCCCCAAGAGTCCTTTCAACTCTGGCTTTCCGGGACTCTTGGACTTGGCCCTATTAATATATCTCCACCCTTGATCAGAAAAGATACAAAGACTAGAAAGGGCATCCATTTGGCTGCTGACATAGCCCATATGTAGTCTCTTGGTCGGGATATTCCTCAAGACCGGATCGGCGAAGACCATTGACCAGCATTACTCAGTATAGAACTGAGCGCTGTGCCGAATGCAAGCAAGTGCCAAGAACTCATAGCATATTATTCTCTTTCCCATTCCCCAGCAAGTAATAAGAATATTATTCTCTTTCCCATTTCCCAGCAAGTAGTAAAAAAAGCAGAGCCCTTTGGTCCTGCACCTCTCCGCCTCCTGGGGGACTTGCAGGCTGACATGTCTGGTGTAAGGCACACTGATATTTCACTCTGTGAATAATTTGCTGGTCAGTGTACCTGAGGACAGAGAAAGGGACTACTCCCAGACTACCGACAGGTTCATTAGCTGTTTGTGCTTGCTAAGAACAATTACATTTATTTGGCAGATCTTGTAAGTTTGGGACACCTGAGTAGCTTCGTGGTTGAACATCTGCCTTTGGCTCAGGTCCTGATTCTGGGGACAACCAGCTCTCCGCAGGGAGCCTGCTTCTCCCTCTACCTGTGTCTCTCCTCTCTCTGTATGTCTCTCATGAATAAATAAATAAAATGTTTATTTAAAAAAAAAGAACTTGTAAGTTTGAATTTAGAGTAAGTAAATAAGTAGAGTAAGTAAGTAAGTTAGAACTTAGTCCAGGACTTTATTTCATTGCAACATATCACCTGTCAATCAGGTTTGCCAGAATGGAGTCAGATCAAACCTCTTACTCACAACTAGAACCTTCTCATGTTAAAAAAAAATAATAAATTCCCATAAAGAAGTCCTGGGGGTGTAATGTACAGTATGGTGACTATATTAATAATACTATATTGCATATTTGAAAATTGCTATGACAGTAGATCTTAGAAGTTCTCATCACATGAAAAAAACATTGCAGCTATGGGTGTGATGGCTGTTAAGCAGACTTACTGCAGTGATCATTTTGCCATATATACAAAATCAAATCATTATGTTAGATGCTAGAAACTAGTAAAATATACATATCAACTAAATCTCAATTTTTATTTTTATATATTTATTTTATTTATTTATGAGAGACACACAGAGAGAGGCAGAGACACAGGCAGAGGGAGAAGCAGGCTCCATGCAGGGAGCCCGATGTGGGACTCGATCCCGGGTCTCCAGGATCAGGCCCTGGGCTGAAGGCGGCGCTAAACCACTGAGCCACCCGGGCTGCCCTAACTCAATTTTTTAAATTTAATAAAACTCAAAAACA